GAATAAGAAGACATGGTAGTAGACGCATATACTGAACATATACCCGACTGATGACAAAATTGTTTCGCATTATGTTTTGACCTCTAGAATTTCCCATATACGCCGCATATACTGAACATATACCCGACTGAGAGTCACCGCTAGAACATATACCCATATTTGCCCATCCTCGAATTCATCGGTCAAACTTTCTTTCGAATCATCTCCTGCGGTTTGGGGTTCATATTTAACGCGATAATCTGAATCCTCCGTTTCTTCTACTTTAGCCGCATTAAGGATCTTTCTTTTTGGATGTCTCTGGGCTTGTTTCGGTCGAAACTCTCCATGGTCCGACTAAAAGTCGTCGGAATCGGGGTTGGAGATCTTGGTTTTAGCCATGAAATTTGGTCTTAGGGCTTGAAGTTGCTTTGAGGGAGGCGTCTGTTCTAAACGTGGGAAAGAGAGAATTAATTAGGATATGTGGAAGAGAGAGAGGATTAATAAGACGTCTGTTCCAAACATTCTCGTAAATTCACAAATAAAATTACATTGGATGTTAATTTTACAACATTTTTTGTTTTAATCAGTAATGCTAAGGAGTCAACAACCAATTATACAACTAAAAGGGCTATTATACTTTCAAGCAAAAACGAAATCAGTTTGGGCTATGGGCTATGGACCCAAATCAGTATGTATGAATTGCAGGGGCATTGTATAGATTTTTTTTTTTTTTAATTTTTTTTATTTTTCGTTGGTTCTATAATTTTCTCAATGAGTGGACTTCAATGTATTTTAAGTTAAAAACAATTATTTTTCAGATGAACAAAAAGTAGTTTGATGATCCATCCATATTACAAATGTAAAAATATATGAAAATAGTTAACTACATTATGATGGGACTTCTATATATTTGTTGCTGGATAATATTAATTGTTTTTTCACATTATTGAGATGAGGGCCTCATATTGTATATATTGAGGTGAATTATTTCAAAAGGCTGACCCATAAATAGTGGTCTCTAGCTACTAGCTTGTAGCAAAGTTTTATTATGTACCAATATATACTCATTCAAACCCCAAAAAACAAATATAATTAGAAAAAAAAAAATTGTAGAAAATTTTTAATGAATATTTTCAAGGCTATAACATTTTGAAATTCATCGTTGGCTTGTTAAACAAAAAATATGCACACATATGTTTTCATTAACTTTTCAAAACAAACTTTTGAATTTTGATCTATCATCTTTTTTTTAAAAAAAAATAAAAAATAAAAAAATAAATAGAACATATAGTTTTCAAGATAAAATGATGTTAAAAGAAAAACAAAAGCAAAAGAGAAATAAATGCAATGCAGCCCACTTAAAAGAAAATTGGGATTGTGGCCCAAAAAGTTTACACTTATTGTGGGACTCAGAATAAAATGACACAGAAAAATGCCTACAAAAAAGGTTACATCATATGTCTTCTTTTAAATAATGCATACATAAATACATATAAATATTTATCTCAATGGCCTCCTATATATTTTCTGTTTTCATTTTTATTTTGGAAAAAAGAATATTCATGTTACATTATTAAGGAGTCCTTTATATTTGAGGGAGATGCTATAATCCCGTTACGGAACCATTCCGTCGGAATTTCTAACCGTTAGATCAACTTTCCCTGACGGTTACATGATGATCTAACGGTTACAAACTCAACGAAATGTTTCCGTCACGGGACTGTAACATTTCCCTATATTTGATGGTGTTTCGAATTAGTCTTGTAAATATGATTATTTTTAGATTATTTCGTTGAATATATATAAGAGAAGTTACAATTTAACTTGGCCATAATGATAATCAATATATATTAGTCAAATTCTAAACTTTGTTTGTATGGGAAAAAACCATCAAACTTCTGCAAATATTAGAATCGTTGGGAAGTCTAACACTAAAACATATTTTTATGCAAATATGTATATATTTAAAATTGAAATGTTATAATGTTAAAGGCAATATAAACATAATTATGCATTTTTGTATATTATGGGTCAACCTGTCTAATAGATTTATATGTCGTTTTTCATAAGAACTTGTGATATACGAAATTCTTACAATTTATATATGTGAGACGTGCTTTCTTTATTATTTGAAGAAGAATATGTATTGTCCAAACTCCAAAATAAAATATTTTTTATTATAACTAGACATATATATTATTATTAATATTATTTTTGTTTCAGTTTGTTGTATGAATATATTTTTATAGTATCTTCTAGATGTCATTTTAATTACCCCAAAAGCAAGAGGCCCCTCCCTTCATATTAAAATTCAAAAAATTTCCAGATAATCTCATTTTATTTCAATTTAATGCAACTTTGTCGTACCTATTGGCGTCTTTTTCGAACTTAGACCACATAGATATATAAGAAAATTTTTATAAGTAAAACATAGACCAATTAGAAGCACATAAGAAAAATAAAACTAAGTAGAACTTAGATCATATAGATAATATTAAAAAAAAATAAAATAAAATAAAAATTAAAAAGCTACTTTGTGGAGTAATAATGCATGAATGTATTATATTATAAGAACGTTCGAGTAAAAAGCAAAAGATCAATCAAAATAAATAACCTCCGTACAATTGAATTTTCCACTCGTAAAGAAGCACTATTGGCAAATTAAGTGCAATTAATTGAATTACAACTTATAAGTGACAATTTTTAAATTTTAATAATTTTCTCTCTAAATTTACAAAACTTGTACCTAGTTTTTTTCATAATAAATGTGCAGTTCCATAAAATAAGTAGGAGGGGCCTCTTCTAAAATGTCTAGTTTTACATAATCAAAGCAAAAAAGTCTCAAAATTATGTATTTTGTGGTGGTTACGAAATATATTATTAGCGACGAATGTTCTCCTTATTTTTTTATCGTTAGATCACACAAAGTCGGCAAAAAATAAAAAATAAAAAAAAATTATTGTCGTTGTTAGATATATATAAATGTATTTTTTCTAAATTAACTAAATTTTTTTTTTTATGTGAGGTTAAACCAATAGCAAGGGTTTTAGTTGGCAAGTGGAATCCAGGTTTTAAAATAATCAATATCAATCCTGCAAGGAACATCAAATTCCTAATCCTCTATTTTCTTTAGCTTTCTTTTATAATATAATGTGCAATGTGTAATCCACAATACAACTTGTGCTATCCCATCCAATCACACTTGTCCAAATATATTATAATATCAATTACAATTTTGCAATTGCTATAACTTTTAGGATAATAAAAAAAAAAAAAGAAAGATATGATCATATAAATATGTGGCTGATTTATGTTTTAGATGATGATTAAACAATTCACCTATGACCACCACAGCCAATAGAGGGACTACATTTATTTAGTTATTTAGCCAATCATTTTTTTTTTTCAAAATTGAAATATCATACTATAAAAAATAGTATTTTGTTTGAAATATCATACTATAAAACATAATATTTAAGAAATACGATATTTCGCATCACAAATTAACATTTTTTGTTGCAAACTAATTTAACGCACTACAAGAAAACACTTCAATTCCAACGAAAAATTCCAACGGCAAAAATTTTCGTTGGAAATTCCAATGAATATTCCAACAAACTTAACTTTATGTTGGAATAAGTGTTGGATGGTTGAGGAATTTCAACGGATTTTTTCCGTTGGAATAGTTGTAGGAATTTGTTTCCATAGGATTTTCCGTTGGATTTTAGCTATTCTAACGGCTTTCCCACGAATTTTTATACGTAGGAATATCCGTTGGAATAGCTATTCCAACGGAAAATATAAAGAATTCAACGGAAAATTTTCGTTGAAATGTAAGAGATTTTTTTTGTAGTGACGGTTACGTTGTTTCATACAAGAATTAATTTTGCCTTTCATAATATTAATTCATCATATATATTTTTTTTTTAATTTCAATTAAAAATAATTTCACAAACTTTTAAATCAAAACTGATAGATATATTTTTTTTTTTTATTTCAAAATGTAAGATTTTTATGAAAAAAAATATATCAACTTAATTTGAATATTTTTAAAAAATAAATAAATAAAATAAAAGAGAGATGCATGAATCAACAGAAATTCTATGGTGCCACATGTGACACGTGTTATGGTGCCACAACATGATGTGGCACATTATGATTGGTGCCACAACATGATGTGTGATAGTTATAGCACCAATCATAATGTGCCACATCATGTTGTGGCACCATAGAATTTCTGATGAATCAACGTCACTGCCTCATTATCCGGCAATCGGCCCGGCCGATAAAATTATATGTGTGGAAATAATAACTGCCAAACAT